TAAAAATGAGTGCAAAGTGGCAAGCGGTGCATTAAAAACCTGCAATTACGGCTGCTTTAGAAGTCTACCAGTAAATTCTTATATGAGTTCCCCTGATCCACACCTGCCCAGTCTAATGTCCGATTTGCAACTTAGTGACTAGCTGCACAAAAATGCTAATGATTTTCATGAGGACTTTTTAACTTTTTTCGAATAAAAATAAATGAACAAATTGTGGTGTAGTGTGGCAATGTGGAGAACTGAATTCAAAGCTGAGGGAAAAATGAGAAACAGAGAGAAATTTGCCCATCCCTATGTGTAAGTGATTTCTGGGGGCCATCAGGTATGTAGGCTTGCAGAACTTTGTCTTGGCTAACACTGCGAGGTAGATAACCTTAAAGCTTCTTAATGACTTCTTTGGTACTGAAGGATAGGAGACCGCTGCTTATTTCCTCCTAAGATATATCTGACATATTTTTCAGTTCTCCCCTCCCCACCCACACGGTTAGAACAAAGACGTCTTGTAAATATCTGCGTGCAGGGTAGAGGGGTCCTCTTCCTTTATCGTGCTGCTCTTTGTGTTTCCTGTTTCTTTATTTGCCAGTGATTCTGCTTTTTTAAAAAACAAACTTTTATCTATTAATTGGAGTCTTGGGTTGTGCTTTGGTTTGCCTTTCACCCGCACAGGTTACATCAGGATGGAAAGAAAAGATAGATAGACAAGTCTGGCTAAAATGAAGAAATGGATCATGAAATATGTGGATTTTGAAACGATCACAGAAGTTCAGAAACTCCATTTCCCCAATCTATATGGTGGAATATAACCTAGAAGGAAGGGGAAAGAGAGAGAAAAGAGGGATGACTGCTATTTACATAAAAACCCAAAAAGAGCACTGATGGATCAAAACTACAATCTTTCAACACCAGTCTTCTGTTTCCAGTACTCTGAAGCCTGACGTGAAGGCAACAGCCTTTCCCCATGGGAAAAAAACCACGAATGAGACATTTTGCTGAAAGGCACAAAACTACTAATAGTAGGTTAATCAGTTCAGCATATTGATTCCTTTTTCCTTCTTTTAAAATGTTTTAATCCCTTGCCAAGCAAAAGTAAAAATCTCTCCCTTGGCCCAAGACATTTTGGTGCATGAAGCAGAGGACAACACAATACACACAAACGAGCCGTTCCACATAGAAAAGTTGACCAGACGGACCATTGAAAGTCGCTTCAACACTGGAGGTGAGGAAATATCTTCCACTACACATAAGGGCAAGCTAGCTTATGCATACGCTCCAAGATTCCTCTAATGAAAATAGGGACATCCTATTCAGTAATAATAATAATAATAATAATAATAATAATAATAATAATAATACCTCACCCATCTGACTGGGTTGCCCCAGCCACTCTGGGTGGCTTCCAATATATATAGAAACAGAATAAAACATTAACAAACTTCCCTATCCAGGGCTGCCTTCAGATATCTTCTAAACGTTGTACAGTTACTTATCTCCTTGGTTCAGGGGTCTCATCACTTCATACCCTCCAACATTTCTCCAATGAAAATAGGGACGTCCTAAGGAAAAGCGAGATATTCTGGGATCAAATCAGAAACCGGGATGGCTTCTGTAAATCCGGGACTGTCCTTGGAAAACAGGGACACTTGGAGGGTCTTGCTTGTGAGGCTGAGCACATACAGGGCTTTGTCCTCCTACATCTTACTTCTGCTCCTCAGTATTTGCCGCCTGAGGCCACTGCCTCACACTGCCTAAGGACAGGGCTGGGCCTGCTCTCCCTCTTGCAAAAGCAACAAAAAGATTTGTGTGTTGTTTGTTTTTGTTTTTGTTTTTCCTTTTAAGAGTCCTCTGTGGTGCAAATGCTAATCTGCAAAAGGCAGGGTGAAAAGTTCAGACAAGCATCTAAATATACTGCATGCAAAAAAACAGCTCCTGTTTCTGTTCGGTGTATGAACACAGAAACACAGCGTCCCACCTTGGGCTCTGGAGAAGCCTGTCACTGCTTACCAGTAACACTATCGTATTTCTATGCTTTGTCATTCTGTGCAGCAGGGCATTGGTTAGATCGCTGCCGAATTGCAGCTTTGAAGGAGAAGTGGCCTGGATTTCCCTTTGACTCTCTCCATGGATATTTCGAGCCGTGAGTCTAATTCTTGGTGAAAGTGCGCTCCCTAGTGTTAGAGTGCTACAAAGGCCTGTGGGCTTATCATTATGGGGGTGGGGTAGCAAAAGCACGTTTTCTTAGCAGATTGCATACCTTTTGAAAAAAAAGGTTGCTCTCTGTTGGCTTCTTAATAAGGGCACCAGAGGTATATTCCCAGCAGAATTTTCACATTGATCTCCAGGACATGGAGTACAGAATGCAGCTATTCTCATGCTGAGAGATGCATTCATTTGCATGCAAGAGGCCTTGTGTACTATTCAGTTGCATGTGAACCGGTTGCACTTTTACATGTTCAAAAATGGAAGAAAGGACGGAGGGAGGGAGGGAAGGAAGGAAGGAAGGAAGGAAGGAAGGGGATGGGAGGGGATGGGAGGAAATGTGCATATGAAGGAAGACCCAGGTGAGAGTAGGGATTCCTGCTTTTATGCTAAAACTCATGCCCCCAAGCAACTTGCACTCTCATATCCTTCAACATTTATCCAATGAAAACAGGGACATCCTATGCCATCGCCATCATAATTTTACTATTTATACCCCAGCGACTCTGGATGGCATCCAACATACATGAAAACATAATAAACATTAAACATTTTAAAACTTCCCTATGCAGATGGCTTGGTGGTTGAATAACTCCATACCCTCCAACATTTCTCTGATGAAAATAGGGGCGTCCTAAGGAAAAGTGGGACATTCTGGGATCAAATAAGAAACCAGGACAGCTTCTGTAAATCTGGGACTGTCTCTGGAGGGTCTTCACTCTAGGAACACTACAAGATTTTATTGTGAGACCCCAATTACTCCATAAGATTTGAATCAGTTCCTGTTTTCCAGCGCTTGGACCAATGCACACAAAGGTCTTTCTTTATTACAAACCCTGGCAAAGGACTCTGCCTTATAGCCAGTGAGACTATCTGCCCAAAGACAGCATCATCTACTCAGAGTGATCATGGCTCTTTCCCAGCAGTAAGATGCTAGGATTGGAAGATACTAAAAAGTAATGTGGCCCAACACTGGGACACCATTTTAACCCAACAGGCCAATTGTGGCTGAGACAAGGGAACCACAAGAAGGGAGGCAGGCACACAAAGGAAGCTGCCTGTTGTGACTCCAACCAGAGGGATTAAACAGGTCAGCTGCATTAAAAGGCTTCCTCAAGAAACCTGGGAATTCATAATCATCTATGATCTAATTGGCAAGTTTGTTGGCAGCAAGCACATGGCTAGACTGACTGGGAAGATAAGGGCACCCTGAGGTATTTCCATTGTTTTCATGGGTGCTCGAACAGGTCCTAAACAAACACACCTAAGCATAATTCTCAAGGAAGAATGCTAAAGTCTATAAACCAGGGCATAATTAAGATGTGAAAGGATTAAAAAGAAATACCCCCTGGTTCATGACCTGGTCATGGGTTATTAAACTGGAATACAGGAGAACACAAAAATTATAATACTATAGAAATAGCAAAAAAAATTATCGAGGACTGTAATATCAACTACAGAAAAAGATGTTCAATGCTAGATAGTTTAAAGGACTTAATTGGAGTCGAGGAACAAGGATCTTAGTGGGTGACTGGGAATATCTAATGCTACTGGATTTGGGCACTTAATTCTTGAGCCACCCAAATTATCACCCATTGCACATGGCGGCGTCTTGTGGTATTTGATTAACTAATCAGTTCCCATTTCCTTATTCCATAAATTACAGAGGCATGACCTTGAGAAGGATAAAGAAGCTAACAATATGAGGAAATGAGTACCTTATGAAACAAGCAAATGGAAGTTAAAGATATGTAACATGGGATTTGTGTCTTTTTCTTTTTTATCTTTTTGCTGTATTGTTGTATTGCTTTTTATGCTTTTTTTTCTTTTTTCTTCTTTTTTATGAATTGTAGTGTTGTCTCCTATTTTTTCTTTTTTTTCTGTAATTCTGAAACTTTTAATAAACATTATTTACAAAAAAAAGGAAATGAGTACCTTAAATTGCGCGTTTGAATAACTCTCCCAATGCCAAGCTATATCTCAGCATGGAGTCACGCATGCTTTACAAGCCATCAGTTAAAAAACAGGTGGGCAAAGAAAAATAAGTCTAATACTATCAGCTTCTATTCATTTTACTTCGTTATCCATTTCTATAAATGAAATAAAATCAGTTTATGCCATCTCTATGCCATCCATTTAGGGTTGCTTTGAGAGTGGTGTCCTTTGCTTTTCCCAGTTGATTTCCAACTCAAGCTAGCCATGTCAGGACCTCTGGATGGATCAACAGCAGCAACTCCATATTAATTCTCATGGTGGGTAGAGCCTATACATGTGGTTCATTAAGGTACAGTGGTACCTTGGGTTACAGATGCTTCAGGTTACAGTCGCTTCAGGTTACAGACTCCACTAACCCAGAAATAGTACCTCAGGTTAAGAACTTTGATGAGAACAGAAATCGTGCAGCAGCGGTGCGGTGGCAGCAGGAGGCCCAATAACTAAAGTGGTACCTCAGGTTAAGAACAGCTTCAGGTTAAGGATGGAGCTCCAGAACGAATTAAGTTCTTAACCCGAGGTACCAATGTATACTTTTCAGTCTGGCAACAAAATAAAATACAGACTACATCCAACATTGTTCCAAATTTCTAGCTAGTTTTACACCATTTGAAGGGAAAAGGGAAAAGCTCTTGAATACCCATCACTTCTTTATTTTATGCACATCTGACTTGTGCGCTTTCAGCTATATGTCGGCTGATTCAAATTGCGCAGCTCAAGTTCAGAGTGAGTTGGAGAGCTTAAAAGTCCACTCTGTGTGTGTGCATGTGTGCGTGTGTGTATAATCTTCCAGAATGGATTACGTTTGAAAACCGAGGTACCACTGTGTGTATATATGTGAGGTGGAAAGCTTTACACCTCACATATATACACACAGTGGTACCTCGGTTTTCGAACGTAATCCATTCTGGAAGACCGATCGACTTCCGAAACATTCGCAAACCGAAAACTCAGTACAGTGGTACCTCGGGTTAAGTACTTAATTCGTTCCAGAGGTCCATTCTTAACCTGAAACTGTTCTTAACTTGAAGCACCACTTCAGCTAATGGGGCCTCCTGCTGCTGCAGTGCCGCCAGAGCACAATTTCTGTTCTCATCCTGAAGCTAAGTTCTTAACCTGAAGCACTTTTTCTGGGTTAGCGGAGTCTGTAACCTGAAGCGTATGTAACCTGAAACATACGTATTTGACTATACAGTGGTACCTTGGTTCTCGAATTTAATCCGTTCCAAGAGTCCATTCAACTCCAGAAACCATTCAAAAACCAAGGCGCAGCTTCCGATTGGCTGCAGGAACTTCCTTCACTCAATCGGAAGCCACGGAAGCCACGTCAGACATTCATCTTCCGAAAAAACGTTTGCAAACTGGAGCACTCATTTCCGGGTTTGCAATATTTGGGAGCCGATTTGTTCAGGAGCAAAGCCATTCGACTACTAAGATACCACTTTATGTGATTTTCACAAATGCACCTAACCATTGGAACTGAACCCATTACCGTCCTGATTTTTGTCTGTGATAGTCTTTCCACAATGACTGTCCTCAGAACAAATGTGACTGCAGGTAGGAAAAGTTTAATTTTGCATTTCATAAATCTCTCTCTCTGATTCTCTTTCTACAACCGGTTTTCTATCCGGTATGCTTTAATATTTCAATAAACTGTTCTGGGTGGATTAATTGAATTGTGCGGATTTGTCTGAGAGAGGGAGAACTACGGTGATGTAGCATTTTTCCCTTTCTAGTTACATTTTATTTGCATTTCACGGGGAAGTATGGTGGGGAAAGCATTGGGCACAGACAGAACAATTACTGCATCTGCTTTATCCCAGGACTAGATATTTTTTATGAGGTTCATAAAGTGCTTTTGCATGTTCTTGTCCCTTCACCAAAGACCAGAAGAAAGTGCATTTGCATGTTATGCGCCCTTCATTCTTCTCAGGAATATGTAAGGTCCTGGTCCTTCACAATTTTAATTCAAATGCCTCAGCCTTCCTTTGCTTCAGAAAATTCATTTTCCTATGTTTTCTATGGTCAGATGTGAGCAAAGGCAGGCAGTGGTGGCTGGTAATATTTTGCTTTGGTACAGCTGCAATTTTAACCTTGCTGTTTTCACAGAAATTGGGCTTGTACTGTATATATTTAGGAAAGTTTGTCATGACACGTGTGCAAAGTGCCTCTTCCTTGAAAAACATCAATTATTCTTTGCACTTCTGTGTTCAGAGAAAGTGCCTCAACGTAAGAGGGCGCAAGTATGATTTCCATACAAGATGGTCTCCATACTCCATATTTAGAAATTGAACCATACGACATTGTGTAAGTTTTCGAATTTGCGTATTGTTTTCACCCACAAAACAAACACCAAAAACCTTTTAAAATGCAATAAAAACTTCATTTCCTTTTGCGTGCCGTTTCCTCCCCAACAAAAATTGGTAACTACCATATTTTTCCATGTATAAGCCACCCCTATTTTTGGAAACTCAAAATTAAGAAAATGGGGGGAGATTGCCAAGCGTTGTTGAGCCAAGATTTTTAACATGATTTTTTTACTTTAAAAACCCTCATCTAATACACGGAAAAATATGGTATTTATTATCCAAAACACATTCTGACGCACCCAAAATTGAGGGGGCCTGGCATGTGGAGCACACACATGACGTTGTGTCATCTAGAGGAGGCCAAGCGCTCTGGAAGAGCCTGCCACTGGAGCTGCAGCAGAAGACATTGTGTGTGAGAGAGAGAGGTGTGCGCTGGGTCCCCTCAATGTTGAGGGGGCCAAAGAAACATTGCTCCTCTACAGTTGGTGCGCCAGAGGCATGGAATGATGTAAAAGAGACAATGAGAAAATAAAACTGAACTGTGCGTATTTCTGGTGATACTTCCTTCACGGATGAAGGCTGAAATGGACTCAATGTGCCATCTAACACTGGCCAGCTGCACTTAAGTGGTTTCCTAGTCATAAATTAAGCCAACTACAGGGTACCACATACAAAGCAATTCCTTCCAGGCCCTGATGTCCACAATGCCTTTATGGACCACATCTTCTCTTAAGGTACATCTGGAGAGGCAGCTTCACATCTCAGTTTTGGGAAGGTTTGATGGCCACATCTTTAATAGATGTGTCTGACTGCTCGAATACTTCTTCTTTGAAAAAAGAAAGCTCTGAACATTCCTCCGGCTCCTTTTTTGTTCAGGTGAGATGCAATGCATAGAATGAAGCGAAACCCATTCCAACACTCTGTGCCATTATGTTCCCTCTCTAATCTTATGCATTAAGTTCCAGCAGACCCATATGCAGTGAATGAAAATGCTCAGAAAACAATCTGAGCAGAAAGCACAGTGGAGGCCTCTAAATGAACCGGAGGCCCTTAGAAAATTCAGAGATGTTGGCCTATGTGAAAAACAAACAAACCTCTCTTGAATGCACCTTTGAAGAGCTTCAGAATCATCCTTTCATTTCATCCAGCTCCGTAAGACATCATCATTCAAAAGAGCCTGCTCTTGCGAGTTTCCCCTCCTCTGCACAATGGAAGATAGGAAAGGCATTCTCTTACTGTTTCAGAGAAACTTACTTCTCTGTCACACAAAGAATCTATAACGACGACAACAAAAAGATTAACAACAAAGACCAAGATCCAAAAGGCAACTCTTCTTTGAATAGGAGATCCTCATTGTCATTTCACAAACAAACTGCTTCTGAAAGTTCTCCGAAGGCACTTCCAGATTGGACAGGGGGTGTGGGGCTAATATTGCAAATTGGTTGCTGAGATATCACAATGGGGTCCCTTTTAAAAACATTTTTTCCCCTCAAAATGTAAAGCCAGATTCAATGGGATGGAGGAATACAAACGGACATTTTGATGCCAACATGTGAATGCTACCAAAATAATAATAATACATGCATCCATACTCTCCCAAGTATCACTGAACCCAAGTCTGAAGGGGTTTAAAGAAAACAGAAAATCACTTTAAAATATTGTTAAACAAAGCAGTAGGTACAGTTGGTTTTAGGAAGAAATTACGGTCATTTTCACATGACCTGCTTATCAGGGGAACACCCTCCCGTCAGATGTCAAGGAAATAACAACTACAGTGGTACCTCGGTTTTCTAACGTCTCCATTGACAAACATTTCAGTTTTCGAACGCCGTAAACCCAGAAGTAAATGCTTCGGTTTTCGAACATGCCTCGGAAGTCAAACATGACACGCAGCTTCCGCTGAGTGCAAAATCCTGAGGCCTAGCTGTTGGCTATTGAGTTTTCAGTTTTGAACATTTCAGAATTCAGTCTTTCTGAACAGATTACTTTCAAAAACCAAGATACCACTGTATCTGACTTTTAAAGACATCTGAAGGCAGCTGTGTTCAATGAAGTTTTTAATGTTTGTTGGTGTATTGTGTTTTAATTTGTTGGAAGCCTTCCAGAGTAGCTGGGGGAACCTGGTCAGATGGGCATGTAAATAAATGGTGATTATTATTTAAGGCTGCCATACATCCGGGATTCGTCCATCAAAAATGGCATCTGGGCAGAATTTTCGAGAAGCGTTTAAAATGTCTGTGAAAGCCCAGGCAGCCCATATCGGAAGTGTTGTTTTTTTGGCGATTCCCCCCCCCCCAAAAAAAATAGGTTAAACGCTTCATTTTTTGTGGAGATTTTGCCAAAAAAGCTCAACTCCCCCTCCCCATATTTTTGAAATATTGCAACCTTATTAAACCTGATTTGTTTGCATAAAGTTTGCAGGGAGGTTGGACAATAGTGGCTATTTAGTGAACATTCCTTCAGATTGTTTTGGGAAGATATTATACACCAGTGTGTCAAGCAATTGCCATCCCGCACTCTCTGGTGTATTTTCCTGTCACTTTCCTTACTGCAAAAAGTCTAATGGGGAGGGGAAAAGGATGCTTGTTTCGCACAAGTACCAAACCAACTTTAATCATGCAATCTGAATTCGCCGGCATGTGACTGAATCCCACCAGCGAATAGTGACCGCCTAGAAGCAGTCTGGGACGCAGGTGGCACTGTGGGTTAAACCACAGAGCCTAGGACTTGCCGATCAGAAGGTCGGCGGTTCGAATCTCCACAACGGGGTGAGCTCCCATTGCTCGGTCCCTGCTCCTGCCAACCTAGCAGTTCGAAAGCACCTCAAAGTGCAAGTAGATAAATAGGTACCGCTCTGGCGGGAAGGTAAACGGTGTTTCCCTGCGCTGCTCTGGTTCACCAGAAGCAGCTTAGTCATTCTGGCCACATGACCCGGAAGCTGTACGCTGGCTCCCTCGGCCAATAAAATGAGAAGAGCGCCACAACCCCAGAGTCGGTCACGACTGGACTTAATGGTCAGGGGTCCCTTTACCTTTACCTTAGAAGCAGTCTATGTTCCAATTTCAAGTGGGTTTGGGCTTAATAAGAGTTCTAGCCAGTGTGGAGATACAACAAACCATTGTAGGATGTTTCATTCCCCGTTTGCTGTAATCAGGTTGTATGCACAGGACAGCTTTATTGCGGTCCATAGACCCCCAAATTCACAGTACAACAATAATATATATTAGCAGTTATGAAGGTGTAAGATTGGCCTTGCTAGCCAACAGAGGAGCTTTAGCCTGTGTTCGGTATCGATCTCCCCACCCCACCCTGATTTTAACCCACTTAACCCTTAAAACAGAGACAGTGGAGAGAGTTGCTGACTAATGGATAAGAGTATCCTCGGAATGGAATGTTTTCAGCCTTAAGGCAGGCAATGATAGTACCTATCAGGATTACAAACGATTTTGGGGTTGAGTTTGTCCTTTTTCAGTTGTGTGTTATTCATCAAAATGGAACAAGTCTTAAACTAGGATTTCAATTAAAAACAAAACAAAGCCTCGAAGCAGAAGCTAATCCAGAGGGAATAGAAAACACAAT